GTGTCCTACAGCCCTCGTAAATTTTCACCTCGGACAATAGGTTATGAGCCCCGCGGCTACACACTAACCTGTCCATTCATTGAAGCTTCCACTGTGCTCACACTCCTTAATTCTTCTCTCTTCGACCAGCACCCACACCAGCACCTCCTGCACCACAGTCTACACCTTCTCACTCTACACCCTCTCACGCCATGTCCAAATCCGTCAAACTCTCTCTCGGCTCAAACCGCCTCTACGATATACCATTCCTCGAGGATGATGGAGCAAACTACCAGCAATGGAAGTTCCGTCTCGAGATGGTGCTACGCATCAGGAAACTCTGGAACATCACCCAGGGTAAGGAAGCTCGACCCGCAGATTCCGAATCTGACAAGCAGGCCGAATGGGATGACAAGGATCAAGACGCAAAGGTGCAGATCACGCTCATGCTCAAAGACATGCCTCTGAGCGGCATCATGTACGAGAAGACGGCGAAGTTTGTATGGGACAAACTCGCCGCGCGGTATGAGGGGAAGGGGAAACAGATGATAGTGCACCTCATTGGTGAGCTATTTCGTGGTACGCTCTCTGATGAGACCGGTATGGAGGCACAGCTCGACGGCATGGTCCAAAAGGCCAACACTCTGGCCACACTCGGACAGCCGCTCGAAGACTCGCTGATCGCGGTCGCCATGGTCATATCACTCCCCCCGTCCTATTCAGTACTTCGCACCATCCTCATGTCGACGAGCGACAAGCTCACCACGGAGACGGTCACAAACCAGGTCCTTACCGAAGAGCGCGAACGCCTCAAGGAGGGATCGCAGCACGCGCTTGCCGCCAAGCTGTCAGGTATGCCGTCAACATCGAAGTCGAATGGGAAGCAGCCGAAATCCGGCAAGAAGTGTGGCTATTGCCACAAGCTGAACCACATGGAGGAGGAGTGCCGAAAGAAGAAGAGAGACGAGGAGAACCAGGAGAAGGAGGAGGGTAGCGACGACAGTGAAGACCTTACGGCGAAGGTCGCGTCCACCCGGGGTACCACAGCGTCCCCCATCCTCCGACTGTTCATCGCCCATGCGCTCACGCAGCGCAGCCTACCCGCCAACCATTGGATTCTCGACTCAGGCGCAACGGCATCCATGAGCTCACGCCGTGACTGGTTCATTCAATTCACGAACCTTACCTCACCGAAGCGCGTTTGGCTCGGAGACGGACGGTACGTTCACGCAGAAGGTATCGGGCAGATCTACATCGATTTAGCCACCGACGACGGACGTACAACCCCGACGCTGCTACAGGACGTATACTATGTACCACAGCTCCAGGGCAACCTCCTCTCCACCTCGCGACTCACCGAACGAGGGCAGACCCTCACGTTCCGCGGCGACGCCTGCAAAATCACCTGCAACGGCGAGACAACGGGCCTAGCGCACAAGACAGACGGTCTCTACGTCCTCGAGTCGATCCCACGCGCTCCCATGCGAGCGTTCGTAGCGCACGCGGACTCCTCCACTGATCCCGACGAGTCTCCACTCGAAGCGCTGGCGGCGAAGACGACGACGCACAAGGCGAACATCGTAAAGTGGCACCACAAGACCTGCCACATGGGTACCGAACTCACCCTACAAACGGTCTATCAAGGCGCGGTCAGTAACACGAACACCGTGAGCAACGCGACTCATGACGTGAAGACCGGTAAGCCCATCCAGACGGGCATCAAGCCCTCGGCCACACACATCCGCACGCATGGGTGTACGGCCCATGACGCCAGACTCGACCTCAAGTCGATCAAGCGCGTCACCCTCGGGTATGCTCAAAACGTGAAGGCACACGCTGCCTCTCACCGAACGAGTGGGCGCACACACGATGAGCAAAACGCCACCTCCGACGAGGGCATCCGTAAGCGGCAGACACGCACGGTGATCGACCCTGAGCTTCAACACGAAGTGCAGGGCAAACCGCCGAGCTCACCTGCCGGCACTCCTCACAGCCCTCGCGAACGACGAGCGGCTCGGATCGCGATCGTAGCCGCCGAACACGACCCAACGCCGCCATCACTCGACGCACCTAGTAGCACGTCCACTGGCGATAGCGACAACGACAGCAGCAATGACAACGACGACGAGGGCACCACAGTACCCTCGCCCAGCCATCACGCCGCGTTGCCATGCCAGACCGCATCAAACCGCTCGCCTCCTTCTCCGCCTCAGCGCGAAAACGAGAAGGAGCACTTACCTGCCATCTCAGAGGCTACAGCATCCCTCTCTCGCACTCGGACTCAATGCGCAGCCCCTCCTGCTCCTGCTCCAAAGGCTGCAAAGAGCCATGTCCGTCAATCCGCATGCGCGCGTCCAGCGCCGATTCGCGATGACGATCCGTGGTCCTCTGTTGGCGCATACAAGCCCAAGACAGTTCCAGGAGGCCTCGGAGCCAAGACGAAGCGGGAAGTAGAGACTCCAGAAGTCCAGCAGAGAACCAGAAGCGAAGGGAAACAGCCAGAGAGAGGAGGGAAGAACGCGCGTCAAGTGGGCGCAGTCGAACGCGACAAGATTCGCGCGGGCGCTACGGGTCACTCAGTTGACGAAGAACCTCGGAGAATCAACGTCAGACGTGGATCAACGGATATTAGCGACAACAGAAGACCTTACCCCGTTCGTCAAGGCCACACTCAACGACGAGTACGACCGTCCACGCACCGCAATCAGGCACGATCCATGCGAAGTCACATGGCGCAGACAGCGTACAGCAGCCCAGGTTCTATCTGCCCAGATGGACTCAAGAAACCCTACGCCACAGGCACTTACAATCCAATCCGTGCAAGCCACAGTATGTTTCAAAGACCATCGGTCACGCACAGCACAAGCAGCATGAAGGATTCAGTTAGTGTTCTAAAAGTAGGTCCGCATTCCCACTGAGTGGGCGTGTTGGAAGTCATACAGACTTTATGTCCAGTGGGACACGGACTTAGACGTTCTGCGCGCATTCGCTTATGTAATCATGTAGCCACAAGCGTGCTCGATCTTTTCCTGCTACCTCAGCACTCGCATCATACATCGAGGCTGAGGTAAGTACCTACTGGATTCCTTACATACTTTTTACTCATACACTGTAGTCACTCGTTCCTATGTGTCCTACAGGTATTTCTAGAGCACTCGCATCATACATCGAGGCTGAGTCACTCGTTCCTACGTGTCCTACAGCCCTCGTAAATTTTCACCTCGGACAATACTCCCAGGCCCCAAAAGCCAACAGTGATTTCAGTTGACGGTAAATGTCGTACAATTCGTCGTATGCGGGCGCTTACCAGAAAGGAACAATTTTGGAAGGGCAGTGAGTTCGGTCGCAGGTGAAGTGGTGGTAGAAAACGAGTAGTATTACATGAGCAGAAGGAGATGATTACAAGGAGCGATTAGAAAGAACAGTAATGTAAGGTGAGAGGAGCATGCAGATTAGAAAGAACAAGGAACATATAGATTACAAGAAGAGGAATGAAAATGAACAGTAAGCTAAGGCGATAGGGAGAGAATACGGGTAGGGTGAGCATATACATTAGAGAGAAAAGGAACGAAAATGAACAGTAACGGTATGCATAGATAGGAAATAGGAAAGGAGGAATGATAGTGATGACGTTCAGTCACTCGTATCTGTCACAGATTTTCGCCACAAAGTCCGCATGTGACTTTTCTTATGCCACAGATCACGTGCTTCACCAATATCTCACGCCACTCAGCCACAGATGCAACGCGTAGAGATCAGGTGATAGTCCACATCACATGTTATGGTCCAGACCCGTGGATGATACGGTCAGATCTGTCTATTCCAGGATACAATAGAGGCACCCAGTTGGGAACAAAGGGAACAAGGACTATTGTTACGCATCGGCCTTCCACTTTCTAATAGTTTAGCCAGAAGCCAAGATAGGCATGATGTTCACACCGGAGAACAAAAGGGAAACCAAGATAGGCATGATGTGCACATGCATTACTGTGGCAACCATCAATCTTCCCACTTATTGTTCTACTTCCAGAAATTCCATTGTTTCATGTACGGCCATTTGCTTATACCCGTAGATAGGTAGCTTAGGTAAGATAGCCCGCTGTACATGTATATAAGACCAGCATGTAGAGGACGAAACTTCAGATTGTTTCTCCTCGTCTACCACTTGTAGCACCTACTGAGCCTACCAGCTCATCTATATATCTCTCACCCCTTCCATCGCCAGCCTCATCGACAAGTAAGTCTCAGGCTCTTGCACCACATTAGGGCTCAGGGAGTTTATTGAGATTAGGGGGATCAGGGTGGCACGTTCCACGTGCCCGTTCCTTTTTAGTCTCTTTGTTCTCTCGTCCAGCAGTGTTGTGACAGTATCCATACAGTGGTGGTGAGCACACTTGCAAGGAGAGATGTTGAAGCTGTTGAACACGTCAGAAGCAGCCTCGGGAGCGGCGGCGAAAATGTGCATATTACCAGGAATAGGAGGGGGGCGAGGTTGCTCATTGGAGCCATCAATGACTTTGATGTGGTGGGTGACAAGTTGGTAAGTCTGTGAGGAGTGTGTTAGGGGAGGGAAGATGGTGAGGAGGATGCGTAAACTTTCCTTGTTCACTTTGTGCACAGTCTGTTTGCCATTCTTCCCAGGCTAAGTGTCACGATAAATCCAGCAATGCAAGGTCACATTCACAAGCACCAGTGTACCAGCGCGCAGCTTGCCATAGGTCTCCCATGGAGCAATGAGGTTTCCGTTGACATTTTTGTAATTGTACTGTCTGACTTTCATGTGAACGTGGGAGAAGAGCGGTCCGCGATGGTCAGAAAGACAGTTGGAATCATATAGGGTGCTGAGCTCAATGTCTGAAGTGGGCAAAGTCAGTGAGGGAGAAAGACATAGATACAGCACACGTACGTGAAGTATCAGGGAGCAGTGTGTCACGGTAACACCGGACAAGAGATCAAGAAGACTAAAAAGGGACAGTCACGTAGAACGTGCCGCCCTGATCCCCCTGATCCCAAAGGTATCCCCCTGAACCCTATGTGGTGCAAGAGCCTGTTGACTTACTGGTCAATGTTGGCAGACGCAGGAAAGGGTGAGAGATATATGAAGGAGCTGGTGAGCTCAGTGAGTGCTACAGGTAGTAGACGAAGGAGAAACAATCTGAGGTTTCGTCCCCTACATGGCTGGTCTTATATACACATACAGCAGGCTATCTTACCTAAGCTACCTATCTACGGGTATAAGCAAATGGCCGTACATGAAACAATAGGATGTCCGGAAGTAGAACAATAAGTGGGAAGATCGATGGTTGCCGCAGTAATGCGTGTGCACATCGTGCCTATCTTG